GGGGCACTAGAATTGAAGTGCTTGGATACCATATCTGGTTTTGCCACTTAAAAGTTTCGTGACCTCAGGTCAGTTACTTAGCCTTTTTTGCTTCGATTTAATCATCCAGAAACGAGACAGATAATAGCAGTTATGTGCTAGGATTGTTGTGAGAATTACATGGGGTAATAGATGTTTTAAAGGAGCTTGTCAAAATGTCTGGTACTTGGTGCCCAGTAAATATTAGCTATGATAACTATGTGCCACAAAATTTTAAGTTCCTGTTTGGGTTGTATATTGCTGTGTAATATACTCCAAAGCTTAAGCAGCATAAAATGACAACTATTTTATTATGCTCACAATTTTTAAGGGTCAGGAATTCAAACAGGGCACAGCAGGGGTTGCTTGGCTCTACTTCATGATGTTTGAGGGCTCAGCTGGGGGCTGACTTGAATGGCTGGGGGCGGGAGTTATCTGGAGATTTATTCACTCACATGTCTGCTGCCTAGGCTGGAATGACTCACACGCTGGGCTAGGCTGTTGATCAGAGCACCTACAAGTGGCCATACCATGTAGCTGGGCTTCCTCACAGCATGGAGGTCTCATGGTAGTTGGACTTCTTACATAATGGTTCTGAGCTCCAAGAATGAGCATTCCAATGAACAAGGTGAAAGGTGCATGGCTTTTATGACCTAGCCTTAGAATTTACACAGATTACTTCTGCCATTGGTCAGAGCAGTCACAAGCCTTCCCAGATTCAAGGGGAGGAGACATAAATCCATTCTCTCACTGGAAGACTGTCAAAGCATTTGCAGCCATGCTTCGAAATCACAGCTCCTACATGTAATCCATCTTTCCATTCATTCCTAGCATTAAAAAAACAAAATAAAACAAAATCAGTTGCTTTCCAGTTGCTTATGACTCATGGAGACCCCACGTGTTTCAGAGTAGAATTACTCCATTAGTTTTCAGTGGCTGTGCTCTTTCAGAAGTATAGCATCAGGCCTTTCTTCTGAGGCACCTCTGAGTGGATTTGAACCACTGACCTTTCTGTTACCTGCAATATGTTTTAAAAAAATTGGCATAGCAGTGCTTACGAAAACACCTTGCAGGGGGAGAGTGTGGTTGGCAAAAAACGTAGAAAGCGTGCATTATTTGCATAAAAATATGGTAGTAGCTGAGTGCTTAACCATTAGTGCCATCCAGGCAGTCCTCCAAACCAGTTGCCATCGAGTCAAACTCATTGAGGTTGCCTTCCTAGCTTGGTGCCTTGAATGTAGGAATGCTCGTAAATGTTCATTAATTTAAAATTTACAAGTGGAGAAGCTGAGTCCCAGAGACAGGATATATTTTATTCAGGGGCCCCCAGCTAGCAAGTGGTTGAACAAGGACTAAAATTTAAGTCTTTCTACACCCTGTCTGATTCTCTACCATCTACTCCATGCAGCTTTCCTTTCCTCACACACCTTGAAGCATAGATGCAATTTTGTAAGGGCAAATAAAACAATGTTTCTGAATCTGCTGTAATTGGCTCAGACAGATGAGAAGTCGTAAATTCAGATATCTACACAATCCTGGCAGGTCACCTAAATGAATAAACCGATCCAGGTATAAAAAGATAAATGTCAGTGGAAACTTGGCCTTGGGAGACAGTAGAGAGTGGTAGGGATTGTAGTGAACAGGGGAGCCCATGCCCCGTTACTTTGCTCCAAGTTAGGTTGCCAAGTGGCTCTGTAGGCCCAGAGCTGCCATATTTTTCAAGAGAAGCTGGAACACTGGATTTTAGAGTAAAATCTCCCGATTTGTAGATCTTGGTAACTGATTCCCATTTAAAGCATTATGCAGGCCATAGATAGTAGAAGCTAAATAAAACACACATGGGCGCCAAATTCAGCCACACAGTCTGCTGGTTTGTAAGCTCTGATTGGGAGTTTTGGCTTTGCATAGGGACATTTGATGATTTTCAGTTGCAGGATAGAAACCTGCATTACTCTGGGTCAGACAACCATTAGCTTCATTTTTTTACTCCAATTTGAAATCAGTCAGGACAATGCTAAGAAAATAAAACGGTCTTTTAAACACAGGCAGCACGTCCACCTTTAGTGAAGGCTGGTTTCCACCCTGGGCCTTTCAAAGGCACTTTGGGACTGAGAGAAGGCAGGCGGGGGAGAAGGGCAAAGAATTGATCACTCTTGTTGCTGAAAATAAACATCTTTACAACAGAGCTGTAAAAGCAAATGAGGTAATAAAACATGGAGCTGAAAGGTCAGGGTTTTGGGGGAGAAGGTTCTGTTCTGTTCTGTAAACAATTACAGTATGGAGAACCCCAGATCTTAAATCATGGATGTCGTGCTTTTTGTAAAAGATGAGACCTATGCCTTTCTGAAAAGTGAGGAGGGAATATTTTCTTTTAGAATGTTTCAGTTTTCTTCCCAGAATGTGAGAAGCACTTAGAACACAGGGGGATGGACCTATCGAATAGGACAAAAATACCATCCTTTTAAATTTATTTTTGCCATTGAAGTAACAAATATTATATTAGTAGAAAAGTTGGTAGATATGGTTAAGCATAAAAGGATAATATAAACTATTCATAATCTTACTCCCAAGAGATATATTTTCTTTTTTTTTTTAAATAGTTTGAAGTATATCTTTCTGAATTTCTTCTATGCATGTTAGGGGCCATTGTGAGCTTTGGGATGCTTTAGATGGCATCCGGTTAGGGGACCCAGGAGTGTCTGAATCCAGCCTTGGTTCAGCCACCCCTTTTCTCCCAAGGTCCCCAGTGGAGATAAATGTACACAGATGAGAAGAAGGTGCCATTTTATTATGAGCTGGACTATTGCTGAAACCCCCATGCTCTCCTCTTTGGTAAGCTGGGCTGGAGCACATGGCTGATTTTTAAGGCTTAATAGGGATCTTTGTCCTTCTCCGTTATGGATTGAATTGTGTCCCCCCAAAATTTGTGTCAACTTGGCTAGGCTATGATTCCCAGTATTGTGTGGTTGTCCTCCATTTTGTGATTTGATGTGATTATTCTATATGTTGTAAATTCTAATCTCTATGATATTAATGAGGCAGGTTTAGAGGCAGTTATGTTAACGAGGCAGGACTCAATCTACAAGATTAGGTTGTATTTTGAGTTAATCTCTTTTGAGATATAAAAGAGAGAAGTGAGCAGAGAGGAGAGGGACCTCACTACCACCAAGCAAGAAGAACCAGGAGCGCATGTGAACGCTTAACCACTGCGCCACTAGTGCAAGATTAAGAAGACTTGCTTAAGGTCATGCAGCGAGAAAGTGACAAAGCCTAGGTTTGAACACCAAGTTGTCTAGATTTCAAAAGCCTCTGTGCCTCCTTTGAGGAGCCCTGATGGCACAGTGGTTAAGTGCTTGGTTTCTAGCCAAAAGGTCGGTGGCTCGAACCCACCGGGCACTCTGTGGGAGAAAGATCTGGCAGTCTGCTTCTGTAAAGATTTACAACGTTGGAAACGCTACGCGGCAGTTCTGCCCTGTCCTATAGGGTCTCTATGAGTTGAAATTGACTTGATGACAGTGGGTTTGGCTTTGGGTTGATGCCTCCTTCCAAAGCCATACCACATTACATCACTTTCCATCCCAATGTAACTTTCACCGGGTGGATAGAATCGCCAACTGAATCTGAATTGGAAGGAAATGGGGAGGTCAGTGGTGTTCCCATGTCACACTCGAGCATGCTCTTTTATCTGCAGCCTCTTTGCTACAGTTTGTTTCTACCCTACTGTTTCTTCAGTCTGGGCCACCATGCTCTCCATTAACCACAACCTTTGGTCATCGAGTGGGTTTTGTAGAGCACGAAGCTAGGTTGATGTTCTGAGTATGTGCACCCGTTCAGGTATTGTCGTGCTTCCTCCCTGCCTCTGAGGCTGAGGTGGAGTTGTTTGGTTGACTCCACCAAACATGAGAAACAAATTCTACCAAACGGGAAGAACAATGCCCAACAATACTGGGTGGTCGGAGATGAGAGTTCACTTTGGTGAGAAGCCGGGAATACATCGGAAAACAGAAATAATGCTCTCCTCCCAGGTCTTTGCATGGCTGGTTCCTTCTGAGCTCTCAGCTCTCAACCAGAGTTTGGTAATGACAAGACCAGGGGAGATTTGGACACCGTTATATTTGACTTCCATTCACGTGTCTAACGCAGGATTTCCGTCTGCCTGTTGAGAAAAGATAAAGCAGTGTGGTTTTTGATTCTGCTCAGAGTTTAAAAATACGTGCTAATCTCCATTCTGTACAGGGATCAACTTTTCTTTTAAGAGTTTTTTTATTATAGTAAAAAAAAAAATATATGTATATATTTAACAAAACATTTGCCAATTCAACAATTTTTACATGTACAATTTAGTGACATTGATTACATTCATCATGTGCACCCATCACCACTATCCTTTTCCAAATTATTTCACCACCATTAACAGAACCTCAGTGCCCCCTAAGCAATGATGCCCCTCTCCCCCTCTTCCCATCCATGGTAACCACTAATAAGCTTTGCTCTCTATACATTTGCCTGTTTCATATAAGTGGGATCATACAATATTTGTATGGGGATTAACTTTTGAACCTGCTATCAACATTTTATTCAGGAACCTCAGGTTTGTACTTAACTGTCTACAGTGGTTCTGTGACCCGTTTGATAGTATTAACCTTGACTTTGTATTGGTTTTGACATCAGAGGCAGAGTATGAGATGACACAGCCATCACTCTGACTGGAAGACACGGGGTCACTTTGACTCACAGTTCTCTTGTGTCCTTCACCTCCCATGTGATATAAAGCCCTGACTTCTCTACTTTTGAAGTGACCTTTGCAACCTTTCCTCCCTGCTGCCATCACTCATTACTTCATCCAAAGCCTTGCCATTGCATTTGGGATAAAATTCACATTTCTCACCATGACCTGCAAGACCCTGCATGAGTCGGCCTTTCCCACCTCTCCGACCTTTCCCCTCTCCCCATCACTCGCCCTGCCGCAGCCACATAGCCTGTCTTTTCTCCCTTTCATTTGCTGTTTCCTCTGCCTCAAATGCTCTCCTCCCAGGTCTTTGCATGGCTGGTTCCTTCTGAGCTCTCAGCTCTCAACCTAAGCCAGAAATGCCTCCTCTGACTGTCTTCTCCAATGATGCCCCCTGACATCAGAGCACCGACTGCCATCTGGCATAGTCTTACTGATTTACTTGTTTATTGCTCATTGTCTGTCTCCCCACTGGAATGTGAGCCCCAGGAAGGCAGGGACCATGTCTGCCTTGGTCTTCGCTGCATCCCCAGCATCAGAATAGTGCCTTGCACTGGTCCTCAGCAATTAGAAGACGCGCAGTAAGTATTTGTTGATTGAAGGCTGGGACTCCTGCAACACCCTCCTGACTGGTATGCCATTCAGCCCGTACACTCTTACTGGAAAACTCCTCCTGAAGCTGAAAGTGTTTCATCGGCTGGGCAACAAGCTTTTGTTAGCATCTCAGCCCCTCTTAGCCCTGCCGCTGCCTTGTTCAGACACTTAAGTGGCTCTTCTCTGCCTGCAGTGTTCTTCTGTGGCTCTCTGCCATCATCCTCCTCAACACTCCTGCTCACTCGCCAAAGTAACCCTCATCTCCGATTGCTCAGTATTGTTGGGCATTGTTTCTCACAGTTTGGTGGAATTTGGTGGGAGGACCCAGGGGGTGCCTGAGTCCTGACTGGCTCACGCCACTCGTCTCCTGGCTGAGGTTTTATGCACACGAGGGGCGGTGGCAAACAGGAAATCAGAGTTCCATTTGGTTTATTGCTGGCAAGTGCCCCATACCCCCATGCAGGTCTCTTTGAGGCAAGTGCCTTAATCTCAAGGTCCAACTAGGACCTGTTCTTTCCTCCAAATGCTAGTCTTACAACTGAACACCAAGTTAAGATGATTGTGCTGAAGCACGGGAAGGGGAGAGGTGGGAGAAAGGGAGAGGGAAGGAGAAAGAGAGAGGCAGACAGAGAGAGGTAGCGTGTAAAATAGCTGGCCTTCCCTAAGAGGCAAGCCCCTGAGTCCACCAACCCAGAAGAAGGAGAGAGAGAGAAAGATAGCTGGCAGGCCTTCCCTAAGAGGCCATTCCCTGAGTCCACCAATGCAGAAGGAGTGAGAGTGAGAGAGAGAGAGCACCATATCACAAGAGTGAGTGATCTAAGAAAGAACGGTGAACCAGTCCACTGGTGAAGGACCCAGGCAACGTCCTGGGCTCTGGGGAGCCCTCAGGTCAGGCCAGGCCTCTGGGTGGGGCTGGGGAGGTATCCTCTTTCCTGTACTCAGTCTCCCCAGGACAAGCCATTCACACTCCTGCATCCCCTCCTTTTACTCTTTGTTTTTGCTCGAAGTGGTCTTTCCTTCCATGTAGTTTTCATAGACAATTACTTTAGATTTAAGACAAACTGCTTGATCTTTCCCAGCCTCAATTTCCTCATCTGTAAAATGGGAGATAATGCCAACCCATAGGGCTTTAAAAAAAAGTATGTATAACGACTGAATGAGGAAAAGCATGCAGAATGCCTAGCACATTCAGAAGTCACTCCATCTCTGTTTCCTCCTTTGATCTGAGTTCTCACACCTTCTAGCAATTTGTCGGAAATTTTCTACGCAGCCTGGGAATGAAATCTGCAGTAGAGTTGTCAGATAAAATGCAGGACTCCCAGTTACATTTGAATTTCAGATACACAGTCAGTAATTTTTTAGTATAAGTATGTCCCAAATATTACATGGGACATACTTATATAAAAATGTGTTCATTGTTCATCAGAAATTCAAATGTAACTAGGTGTCCTGTGTGTGTTCCTTTTTTTTTTTTTCTTCACACTTAATTTTTTTAGAGCAGTTTTAGGTTTACAGAAAAACTGTGCAGAAAGTCCGGAGAGTCCCTATAACCCCTCCTTCTGGTGCACAGAGTTTCTCCTTTATTAACAGCTTGCTCTCCTGGGGTACGTTTGTTACTGTCGAGGAACCAGTATTGATACATTATTATTAAGTAAAATCCATAGTTTACATTGGGGCTCACAATTTTTGTTGTATGTCCTGTGTTTGTAGTTGCTAAATTGGGTAATCCTAACCCATAGACAAGGGAGCCCTGGTGGTACAGTGGTTAAGTGCTTGGCTGCTAACCAAAAGGTTGGTGGTTTGAGCCCACCAGCCACTCTGCAGGAGAAAGATGTGGCAGTCTGCTTCCATAAAGATTACAGCCTTGGAGGGCTGTGGGGACCATGGTCTCGGGGAACATCTAGCTCAACTGGCATAACATGGTTTATAAAGAAAATGTTCTACATTCTGCTTTGTTGGGTGAGTAGCGTCTGGGGTTTTAAAAGCCTGTGAGTGGCCATCTAAGATACTCCACTGGTCTCACCCCTTTGGGAGCAAGGGAGAATGAAGAAAACTAAAGATACAAGGGAAAGATTGGTTCAAAGGACTGATGGACCACAACTACCATGGCTTCCACCAGACTGAGTCCAGTATAACTAGATGGTGCCCAGCTACCACCACTGACTGCTCTGACAGGGATTACAATAGAGGGTCCCGGACAGAGCTGGAGAAAAATGTAGAACAAAATTCTAACTCACAAAAAAAGATCAGACTTACTGGCCTGACAGAGACTGGAGAAACCCCAAGAGTATGGCCCCGGTCACCCTTTTAGCTCAGTAATGAAGTCACTCCCGAGGTTCACCCTTCAGCCAAAGATTAGACAGGCCTGTAAAACAGAACGAGACTAAAGGGGCACAAGAGCCCAGAGACAAGAACTAGAAGGCAGGAGGGGGCAGGAAAGCTGGTAATAGTGAACCCGAGGTGGAGAAGGGAGAGTGCTGACATGTCATGAGGTTGTTGTCATAAAACCAATATGTGAACTCACTGTTGAATGAGAACTAGTTTGTTCTGTAAATCTTCATCTAAAGTACAATTAAAAAAAAAGAAAAAGATTACAGCCTTGGAAACCCTATGGGGGAGTTCTACTCTGTCCTATAGGATCACTATGAGTTAGAATCGACTTGATGGCAATGGGTTTAATCCATAGAAAAAGATTAGGGTGGGCCTTCAATCCAATGACTGGTGTCCTTATAAGAGAAAGCAGGGAGGATATTTGAGACACAGACACAGAGGGGAAGGCCATGTGAAGGCAGAGGCAGAGAGTGGAGTGATGTGTCTTCACGCCAAGGAATGCCGAGGATTGTCAGTGGCTACTGGAAGCAAGGGCTTATCTTCACATTTCCTATTTCGACAGTGTCCACCCAGAAACTTGCATCAGGGTCTGAATTCCTGCAATTATGATTTCAACTAATTTGGGCTATGAGTACATCAGCTGCAGCAAAATGTACTGTGTGCTGTTAATCAGAAATGCGCTCTCCCCTCCCCCATTTCTGGGATTAAGAGCAAAGGGGAAGGAGTTAGGGGACTCCACTTGGGACAGATGCTAGATGCTTTCACAAGCACGGCCACCACCTGAATACCAACGAAGCTGACTGCATGTCTGGAAGAGTTTGGAGGACAGAAGTTGCTGTTGGATGCAGTTGAGCTGGCTTGGTTTCAGTGTTAGGCTGTGCTTGTATTCGTTTCCACTTTCTCGACGGAAGCCACATGAAGATTCTCACAGCGCCAGGTGCCTACTAATGCTTGCTGGGATCACCTCCCAAATAAACTACTTGTGCTTATATCCTAATGTTGGTGCCTGCTTCTGGGGAAAACCTGCTCAAGTTGGGGACTGATCCTAGTCCAGTGAGGAGAGCTTGTTGTTAGCTGCCATTGAGTCAGCCCCTGATTCACGGTGACCCCACGCACAGTGGAAGGAAATGCTCCCCTGTCCTGCGCCATCACCGCCATCAGTTGTGGATCAGACCATTGTGATCCACAGGGTTTTCATTGGCTGATTTTCAGAAGTAGATGGCCAGGTCTTTCTTCCTAGTCCATCTTACTCTGAAAGCTCTGCTGAAACCTGTTGAGCATCATAGCAACACACAGGCCTCCACGCACAGACCAGACGGGTGGTGGCAGGGGTGAATTAACTGGTAAGCAAGGCACCCATGGGCTTACTTGTGCTTACTTACAATTTCACCTGTTTAGATCTGTCCCTGGGTGGTGGCTGTGCATGAGGAGCATTAGCTGGGAATCAGGCCTGGGTCTTCTGCATGGAAGGCAAGAGTTCTACCACTGAATCACCACTGCCTCTTTAGGAAGTGGCATTTACACTGAACCTTGAATGACAAGTAGAAATTTAGCTAGGTGAAGACAGTGGATGAGTGTTCCGGAGTATCTCACTCAGGATTCTTGTTTGCAAGCAACAGGAAATAAATCTGGCCAACTTAAGCCAGAGTGAGGAGAGCTGAGTAGCCCCAAGTAATAATACCTATCCCTTCCACATGGAAGGAGCCCTGGCGGTACAATGGTTAAGTGCTCGAATGTTGACTGAAAGATTGGTGGTTCAAACCCATTAGTTGCTCCATGGGAGAAAAGACCTGGTGATCTGCTCCTGTAAAGATTATAGCTAGGAAACCCTATGGGGCAGCTCTACTCTTGCCTGTAGAGTCCCTATGAGTCGGAATCAACTCCACGGCACACAACAACTTTCATATGGAGAAGAGGTGGGCAGGGCCTCAGATGAGGAGGAGTTTGGCTTGTGTGGGGAAAAGAAAGATTGTATATAGTGGAGCAGAGGGACTGAGATGAAGTTGGAGTGGAAGGCTGGGGCCATGGAACCTTGCTAGCTTCTTGGTTTACTTTTTATTTTTAGTGAAAGAAAATTTCCAAAAGTAACTTTGAAGCATTCGATTTCATGGAAGGAGAAATCAGGGTTTGTAGGCTGGATGATGCCCCCTCCTCTGAGATTTGAGCAGAGCTGGACCTAAGCTTGCTCATGCACAAGTTTAGAGGCCTTCAGGGAGCACAGAATTTATGGAGGGCAAACTTGTAGGCAGACATGCGTCCTCACTTAGAGAAGCTGCAGCAGCTGGTTTCTCCCGAGAAGCTGGAGGATGCCCACGAGCGACATCCTAGGTTGTTGATGCTCTTAGGGGCTTTGCATTCCCAGGAGGCGGTGGCATGGGGAGGAGTTCTCAAATAGTATTCTGCGGCACCCTGTGGATTCCTTTGAGCTTCCTCTGAGTTGGGCTGTACAGAAGGTGGGACGCAAATGCTTAGGGTCATGAATTGTTTGAAGAGAGTATTCTGCTGCTAAAAAGCATTTGAAAAAGAGCTCAACCTGGCTTTGAATCCACCACCTCCACTGATTAACTGTGTGACTTCAGGTACATTAATCAGCCTCTCTGAACTGATTTACCTTCCTTCTCCCCTCCTCAAGTACCATCATCGATACAGTTACCTA